AGCATTTCAATTCTGGTAAGGGACAGCGTAAATGACCAAACGCGTAAACAAAAACCGCGTAAATCCAGACTCAACTGTATAAGGTGCATTCATAAACATTTTTTAAAGAATATAGTTTACAATTTTCATTAATTGTATTGTTTTGGGGGAAAAGAGGGTAAAAAGCCACACAAAAGACATGAAAAGGTCACACTGGGGAACACATCTCATTATTATTGATTTATTTTAATGGTAATCAATGATACGATGATTCACCTTACACTGTAATGTTGGAGGACACATTACCGTCGTTAGTGTTTATTACAGGATGTTAATCATGTTCCGGGGTAATGGTTAGCCAGTACAGTTGGCAAGTTATCCGGTCTATTCCTTGACACTGGGTCATACAACTCGTTAACTTAGGGTGTGGTTGTTGTGTTGGCCACGGCTTCTACATCATAGACAAATTCACGCTCAGGTGGGTCTATGGCCGGCCATCCTCGAACACAAGGGGCAACCATTATTATTATACACATGGCTTGTTGCTTTGTACAAGGTTTGTGTTTTGAAACATAGGCAGTAGTGAAACTGTACAAACACAATCAGTTTTACACAAGAAAATTACCCAGACCATATACTGTACTGTAATGTACAGTTGTACCCCACTTAACGCGGTCAATTGAACCCAGAGGGTCCCGCGTTAAGTGAAAACCGCGTTAAGTGAATAACAGAACATATGGGATTAATTCCAATAGAACCCAGCCCGACCCCCAAACTCCACTTTTTGACGACAAATAACTATGTTGTAGTAAAAATAACATCTTAATTTTATGATGGTACATGCACACAATTAATACTTAAGAGAAATAGAGAAATACAGTCGCCAAGTTAATGTCCATTCAAATAATGGACTCAACTCCCTCCCCCTCTTCTCACACTACACTCACTGGCTCTTCCCTCTGAGAAATTTTTGGGGGAAAACCAGGTATAGTAATAAATAATTCCTCAAACTAAAGTTAGGATAATATAATTGACATTGCTGGATTCCTTGTAAGACCAGGAATATTTTGAATATAAATGTCATATATTTTTCACAAAAGATAACATATTTACTCAGAATAAACTTTACATCTAAAATTTGTATGTCTAATGCAAAATCTATGATGTTTATATTCAAAATGATCAGCAAATTGTAAGAATTCCAGCAATGTAAATTATATTCTGGCCGGATAATTTGTATGAATTTTATGAGCTAAAACAAATATCTTCAGTTAATAAAAAAAAAAAAATATTCTTCGACACTATCTGTCAATCAAAGTACCCCACCTTGCCTTCCCCCCCTCTTCCAACCGCGTGGTCAGTCCCAACCCTCCCCCCACCCCCCACCAATCCTCCATTCAAGAGTTTTTAACATTTAGTATTAAATAATACCTCAGATTAAAGTTAGGATAATATAATTGACATTGCTGGATTCCTTGTAAGACCAGGAATATTTTGAATATAAATGTCATATATTTTGGACAAAAGATAACATAATTACCTAGAGAACAATTTTTATCTAAAAATTGTATGTTTAATGCAAAATATATGTTGTTTATATTCAAAATGATCACCAAATTATAAGAATTCCAGCAATGTAAATTATATTCTGACCGGGTAATTTGTATGAATTTTATGAGCTAAAACAAATATCTTCAGTTAATAAAAAAAAAAATAATTCTTCACGGGGTAACAGATGGTCGGTCGGTCGGTCCCTCCCTCCCCCCCACCCCCCACCCCCCACCACCGTCCCAAGGAGATGTGTGGGATAACCACTAAATTTTAATAAATAATACCTCAAACTAAAGTTAGGATAATATAATTGACATTGCTGGATTCCTTGTAAGACCAGGAATATTTTGAATATAAATGTCATATATTTTGGACAAAAGATAACATAATTACCTAGAGAACAATTTTTATCTAAAAATTGTATGTTTAATGCAAAATATATGTTGTTTATATTCAAAATGATCACCAAATTATAAGAATTCCAGCAATGTAAATTATATTCTGGCTGGGTAATTTGTATGAATTTTATGAGCTAAAACAGGCAGTCAGGCAGGGTGGCGGGTGGTGCGAATCTAAAAATAGCTCTCGAGCCGGACACTCACCGCGTATATGATGAAAAATGCCGCGTTAAGTGAAAGTTCAGCTTTGGCAAGGCACCGCGTATATGCGAAAACGCGTTAAGTGAAAGCGCGTTAAGCGGGGTAATACTGTATTTGTATTTTTACCAAACAAATACTTACAGATACTGGCACCTGTGTACACCATGATGGGTACTATACTGTAACCATCAACATGATAACTATATCTTGCCAATGACATGGTATTTCTCACACACAGAGGAACTGTCAAAAGTACCGGCTTACCACAAGTGTCAGTTGTGGGAACATTAAGGAACAAACAGTTCACTTAAAAACTTGTACAGTAATGTCGTACACATATTGTGAACAAGGAATGCGGGAAAAAGAACCGTGTCATTTACCAGGGGAGAGCAAGTGGACCCCCTGCACTTCCCTGCGGACACCCATGGCTGTATACCTGGTGTTAGGTCAAGACGAAGCCACAATCACTTGTCCTCACAACTGACCATGCATTATATTACAGTTAAGAGTTTTTAAATAAGCAATCTTCAGAAACACTTTGCATATTTTAGGTTCATTTTTTCCCAATTTCTTGATAAGTAATATAATATTTGGGTACCTGTACAATTTGTTTAGTACAATACGTGGGGTAATTATAAACAGTGTAGAATATTATTACAGGAGGTTCCTGGGTTACGTACGTCTGACTTACAAACATCTGCTGATATAAAGGAGGTCCCATAAAGATAAACTTTGAATTTACATTTTTTATGGGAATTTTGTCATTTTATTTCTTCTTTTCTCTTAAATTAAGTGATTTTAGATGTATATAAGGACTTAGGCTATGATATACATAAGTGGGATTTTAAATATTGTTCTGTAAATACAGTATGCACATAAGGTATGTGTTTTGACTTAAGAACGTCCGTAGGAAATGAATTCTCACGTAACCCGGGGACTGCCAGTATTGTATTGAAAATAAGAGCAAAACAAATGTGGTGGAGAGCTCTGAGGTCAGTACCATTGGGGATGAATATTTTATTTTATTTTATTATTATTTGTCATTTATTTCTTACATTTACTGGTACAGTATAAATTATTCTATGTACAAAGAATAACTTTTTCCACTCACAAACCATCACCCAGGCAGCTGTGGGAGGTGTTGAACCCCTTGCCCAGTGTTGGACAAAATCCTCTCAGACTAAACACTCCTGAGGACAACACCATCTAGGATAAAAGACTAACCAAACTAAACCAAATCAAATCTAACACTGTGAGACATTAATAAAAAAAGGGAGATGATTTCTTCCTTCTACAGGTTGTACCTCTCTAGTCCGGCAACCTCGGGACCTGACCGGCCGGACCATGGAAATTCACCCTCTTCCTGGATAGACAGTGACTTGTGCTTATGCTTGGAAGCACTAGCACCACTTTCTCTGCATCATGGTCTCTTTTAAGACATATTGAAGGGTTAAATGTCGTATAGTAGCTTCTCAAATTTCGCGAGTTTTTAATTCAACGTATTTTATTGGAACACACACACAAAAAATAAATAAAAATTTTGACGGCGGAAACTTGAATTTTGACGGGTTTGAACGGCCCGCCAACGTGCAGACGACGTGCATAATCGTGTAAACAGCGTCATTTCTCTTATGTACAAGAGATTCATTATTGTTTATTACTGAATGTCTTTTTTATTGAATTAATGTTTATGTGTGCAAAATGAGCAATACAATTCATTAATAATACGTAGAATATTAAAACACACGAGGAAATGACGCAGCATTGTTTTCGTTGATTACAAAACCAGTGACTGACTGGTTCTACATATAAAACTGAAGAAAATAAGACCTTGGTTGTAGCTGTAGTAAAATTAATATGGTTGTTTTAAGCAATGTTATTTAATGTTAATAAATGGAACAATAGAAGTAGCTAACGATAATGGTAAAGAAAAAAGAGAGATCGCGTATGTAAGTGCGCACACGTGAAAACATATCGTCATTACTTTACATAAGAATATGAAAGCAACACTTATTTACTGTTCATATATATTTTAATTAATGTTTCTGAATTTCTTTTTATTGAATTAATGTTTGTGTGTGCAAAATTAACAATACAATTTATTAATAATACGTGGAATATTAGAGGAGACGAGACGGCTGCCGGCATTGTTTATGTTAAAGCTTACAAAACCAGTGACTGATTGGTTCTACATATAAAACTGAAGAAAATAAGACCCTGATTTAGCTGTAGTAAAATTAATGTAAAAAATTAATATGGTTGTTTGAAGTACCTGTAATGTTATTTAATGTTAATAAATGGAACAATATAAGTAGCTAACCATTAATGGTAAAAAAAAAAGTGAGACTGCGCGTATGTAAGTGCGCACATGTGAAAACATATCGTCATTACTCTACATAAGAATATGAAAGCAACACTTATTTACTGCTCATATATATTGAAGGGTTAAATGTTGTACTCTGTATAGACAAGCAGAGAGAGAGAGAGCAGCCGAACTGCCGGATGTAAACAAACCTTAATTTCCCGTGGCTTTTTTTTTTTTTAAGGGGATTAGCCCACCCGGGCATAGGTCACTGACCCACATTGGGGCCTGAGGGGCAAAAATTTAATACTCCTGTAATAATAATAATAATAATTTCAGATAAGTAAAAAAACTGCCTATCTACCTATTGGACAAACTAAAATCGTTCCGGACCACGGGAGTTTCCGGACCACAGAATGCCGGACTAGGAAATTTAACCTGTATACAGTACACTCACTGAGGAGGTCTTGACCCCCCCCCCTCCCAAGAAAAGTTGGCAGATGTCCCTGGTTATAAATAAACAACTGTTGGGTTATGTTAACTGTGATGTAAAAGAAGAAGTACTGTACCTGAGATAAATGATGCCCCACATGTATGTTCTGAACCAGGTAGCTGTGCCAGCATTAGCTTGGTATTTACGAATAAGTATCGGGTGTGGAACAGGCAGCAGACCCACCAGTGTGCCGTGCTGAAGGAACCGCAGTATCTCACTCTCGTCGGTCAGGCCTCTGTCAAACATTGAATGTATTAACACTTTATATTCTTAATTATATAGACTATATATTGTATTAGGAACAGTATGTAACATATATGTATGTATATATATATATATATATATATATATATATATATATATATATAATAATAATAATAATATATATATATTATATATATATATATATATATATATATATATATATACAGTAAAACTTTCTTTTAACTTACTGCAACCCTCTGCACGCCGAGCGCGACGCGATACGCGCGCGCGACGCCGCGCTTACGCAGCCGCGACGCACTTACGCCGCCGCACGCACGCACGCACACGCACGCCGCACGCCGCGCCGCACACACACACACACACACACACACACACACACACACACACACACACACACACACACACACACACACACACACACACTACAGTATTACAAGGTTATCCATCACTCTCATTGGGTACAATGATCATCCAGCAGTAAAAGAATGTTCCTTGTGATAGGGGAGACAGCACAATCAACTGCCAATAACATCACAATCACTCTCCTCAACACCAACACTCTTGCATAAATATTTTTTGTTTTTGATAAAATAACTGAGTCCCCATCATTATACTGTGTTTAAGGATCTTTTATTGAAACAATCTTATAGAGAATTTATTCAGGATCATTATGGTATCAACTTCATCTCTGTAACACTATTACAACAGATGCTGTGATTAAGAGTTTATACACGTTTTTGTTAGCTGTCAATATATTTTCTTTATGTGTCTATGGTCTAAATGTAATGGGAGAATGATAAGAGACTCATAGACTGTAGAAGAGCGTTTTATACGGTATACATTATTACTGCACTACAATATACCTGCCGATAAAAATATAAAAGCACACAGTACAGTACATGTTACTAAGGAAGTCCTGTACTGTACTTACTAATTATTCACTTATCACCACAGCTGTACCACCACAGAGGCAGCCTTCACCTGCACCAACTTTCTCCTGTACTAACTGACAGCGTTAAGGCTCCATAGTGGCAGCACTCTGTGCCAGATGCACAGTTCAGACACGGGAACTTCTCTCATAATTTGGTCTTATGGAGAAAGTAAGTGATATACTGTACAGTACACATACACAGTACGTAACTCTTTAACATAACACAGCACAGTTCAGTAATGTGTTCAACGGAATAAAGGATTCATGTTTTAAACTGAGGGAGATAGGAAGAAACTGGTTCACAAATAGGGTGGTGGACGAGTGGAACAAGCTTAGCAACTTTGTAGTAAGTGCTGGAACTCTGGAAAGTTTCAAAAGGAGGCTGGATAGATTCATGGATGATAGAGAGTGGTAGTAACTCTCGACAGGAGCTGCCATGCACAGGCCAACCAGACCATTGCAGACTTCTTATGTTCTTATGTTATTACTCCTTATACTACTAAAAGATAAACCAGACTTGGGTAATCAACACAACAGTAAAAAATATCAAATTTAAAAGATGTTTTCACCAAGTCTCACAACCAGAGCAGTTTGGTGATTGATATTTAGGCAAACAAATACACTGAGTAATAACTGTGGTGGCTACTGAGTCACTCCTCCCCCCTGCACCAGTCAGCTGCACACCCCTCAAAAGGTATCTTGAACACCGCGACTCCTGTACACTCGATGGGGGTTGTCAAAATCCTTCGTCCGTTGTGCCATATTGTCTCACATAAAATTTTAAAGATACTTTTGGAGAGAGAGAGAGAGAGAGAGAGAAGGAATGACTCACTTGTCAATACAGATTTTCTCCACCTGAGGAACCAGAACCTGCAGCAACCTCATGATAGTCTGTAGAGGGAGCTTGGTCTTCCAGCTCAAAACCCAGGAAGAGTTTGGCACCCACTGTTGGGATGACCAGCCCAGGGCTGAGGCGGCAGACTCTGACCGTCATGCGGTCCCCGACGGATCCGACTGGGCTGACGTGAGAGATAACGTGGGACTCTCCGGACAACTCGGCTGAGGAGGGACAAGTCACAGTTATGGTAGATCTGCTCCGTGCACACAATAAGAGATCTGTAAAGTGCACCTCAAAATAGTGTTCTCATCATGGCATAGTTTACCTTTGTCAATCATCACAGTACTGTACCTTAATGTCCGATATATCAAGAGAATAACTACAATTATAACATAATATCAACTGCTAGGAACAAGACTGATATTTGTAGTGCTTTTACTAAAGAATCTGTAGTGTAGTGTAATGTAGTGTAGCACAGTGTAATTGTAGTGCAGTGCAGTGTAGTGTAGTGTAGTGCAGTGTAGTGTAGTGTAGTGTAGTGTAGTGTAGTGTAGTGCAGTGTAGTGTAATTGTAGTGTAGTGTAGTGTAGTGTAGTGTAGTGTAGTGTAGTGTAGTGTAGTGTAGTGTAGTGTAGTGTACTTTAACACATAAAATAGACACGAACACAACATAACATGACGTGAATCTTTACATGCTTCACACACAACATCAAACACATTACTAATATATAAACTCATAAAGAATACTTACAACTCTACAGTGACCAACAAACATTAAAACACTTAATAAACTCACTTATAAAACAAAATCCTCCATGTATAGAACACTGACTGCATCATTAACCACCAATTAAAAATATAATGTTATGTTTGCATTAAATATTTTTAACCCTTGTGGTGTGGTAAGATTAGCCTTCATAAAGTGAGTCACACTAGCTCCTCCACACAAGGCTCCATAAAGGTGTAACAGCACACCTTGAGTTAATAAACACTATATCTTGCATGTAATGTCCTAAGGGGTCACACTCTTCACCTCTAACCAGCTCCGGCAGACTGTACACAGCTACACACGGGTACATCACCTGTGTGTGTGTGTGTGTGTGTGTGTGTGTGTGTGTGTGTGTGTGTGTGTGTGTGTGTGAACAATAAATTAATAACTAGAACATTCTAGAACAACCGAGCACAAAGGGACTATAACACTTTTCTCTGTCCTCCAACCACTGGTCAGGGGTGTTGGTGGTACAGCTGTAACACAATCTCTGTCAAGGGTTCGAGCCTCGGCCCAAGGGCGTTGTGACCCTCACTACCAAACACCACAGGTTTCCCGGTCTCTGGTTTCCTCCTGTACTAACACTGGATAAACCGCCCAAATGGCTAATAAGCTGATAAGTGGCAAAAACGATTTAAAAAAAAAAAAATCACACACCGCCCTCGCATATGTCTGTCTCTTCACCCCAAAGCATAAACGAGGACATGGTGCGGAACTCTTATGAATGACAGTCTACTCAAGAGGAAAACTGTAGCAGCTATTGGTTTCCTCACTTTGATCCAGGAGAAAGAACAAAGATTGGAAAGAATATTGTGTGGAGATGACACTGACTGTAGAACCAGAACAACGTGCAGGAGCAGCTCTACACCGCCACTACAGGCACACACAGTGGATCAGGCTCCAATCAAATGACACTTTATTAATCTTCAGGTAAACCGTTAATATTTTACAAATGTCCATCATTACTGGACAAATTCCCACCGTTAAGCTTGGGTCACTGGTAAACACAAAATAGATCGCTAAGGTAAGTGTATTCCTTATGTTTATTTTGTGGTGAAATCAGTAGCTATGTCACCAACAGATATATATAACAACACTACCAGAGAGAGAGAGAGAGAGAGAGAGAGAGAGAGAGAGAGAGAGAGAGAGAGAGAGGAGAGAGAGAAGAGAAGAGAGAAGAGAGAGAA